TTTTAAAAACCAACTTAATTTTTATCAGGGTGGACTTCCCCTTTAAGCCTATTGGGATGAGGGATTTCAGTAGTCTGAAATAAATCAAACTAATAATAAGAAAGTAATGAATGTTTGAGAAATGAGCTCAGTAAGAGTCTTCAGATGCGAATAGATCTCAAATAGTCAGTTTGGTCAGTGGATTGTTGTGTACCGTAGTTGCGGAAAGCTCTCCAATGGGGTACACAATTATCATTAAAAAAAATTCCCCCTTAAATGCCTTCTTCCTTGGGGCATTTTATATTATGGTTATTACACTGAAACCAACTTAATATCAGGGTGGACTTCCCCTTTAAGCCTATGGAGACGAGGGATTTCAGTAGTCAATCTGTTAAAATGCATCCATTTCAAAACCAATCAATAGTCTACATTGTACATTAGTCTTCTCCATTAAATCTACTCTTGATTAATGCCATCCAATTAATTGAGTCTACATTTATCATTGTACTTCAACTGAGAGTGAATCAACCTGACGCACTTTGAATTATTCAGAGTCAGTTGGCGATAACTCTTTTTGAATCCATCATTTGGAGGTGAAAACAGGAAAAACAACTCATCAATTTTAAACCTTGGTGAAGCCCTTGTAATGGATTCTAAATGCAATTACATGTATTTAGTTATGGATTTCAAACAGAAGTACAGTACGATGTACATGTAATTAAATTGAGTACCTGGTAGTACTTTGTATTATCAAAGATAAGACAAGAAACTCAGCTTTTTTAACTTATCAACAAAGTTCAGTGTACATGTGTAGGTTTCTTTCATTAAAAGACATTAATAAATTAATTACATGTAGTTAATCAATTAATAATAACACATGACTGTAGATAATTATATTTTATTGTATCTATTAATGTGTTTGTTTATTTAACAATAGTTGATAAATTATTAATATATCAAATGTACAGTGTATATCGTTTTTGCTCTATTCTTAAATTCTACAATTATTTTTCAAGGCAAAAATGGAACTTGAAGAGAAATATACATCAAACCTATGGTGGGCCCCTATCCAAATAGCCATTGTTGTCAACACTTGTATTTTACTTTGATTAATACTATGCAATTAACGGAGTCTACATTTATCATTGGACTTCGAATGGGAGTAAATCAACTCGACACGCTTTGAATTATTCATGGGTGATGGAGCGTGCATGCCGCAAATTTTCAATATCGAGTTTAACGATTCCATGTCTGCTTTGTCTATTACCTTTTCAGAAAGGCAGTTCTATAAAAAAAAATGAATATTTAATGTTATTCATTTCAACTACAGAATTTGTAAGTAGTAGTACTGCCTTAAAAATCATCTATTTTAGTTGTAAAGTTAAATGCTGTGTCATTGTGAGTTGGATAAAATATTAACAGTAAAATGAGACACCATGTTGTTAATGGCACACATGATGTATTTATCAAGGCCCAGGTTTTCACATTTCAACTGAAATATCAAGTCTTTCACATTTTCATGCTCTGTTTATTAATTTTTCAGAAGGGCAGTTCTTTAAAAATGTGAATATTTAATGTTATTCAATTAAACTACAGAATTTTTATGTACTGCCTTAAAAATCTAATATTTTAGTTGTAAAGTTTAATGCTGTGTCATTGTGAGTTGGATAAAATATGAACATTTTGTTTTGAAATGAGACACCATGTTATTAACGGTACAGTACATGATGTATTTTCAATATCGACTGAAATATCAAGTCTTTCACATTTTCATGCTCTGTTTATAAACTACAGAATGTTTAAGTACTGCCTTGAAAATCTACTATTTTAGTTGTAAAGTTTAATGCTGTGTCATTGTGAGTTGGATAAAATATGAACATTTTGTTTTCAAATGAGACACAATGTTCTTAATGGTACATGATATATTTATCAAGGCCCAGGTTTTCACATTTTTAATGACTTAATTGGAGCATGACCTCATGAGTTGGAACGAAATTGATTATTCATAATTTAGAAGTTCAATAACAAAAATTGCACAGTAATGAATCCTGAATGGTACTGAAGCAATTAGATTAATTCAATTGAGACTTTTCCATTAACAATTCAAGGGCGTGATTTAATGCAAAGTCATTTTACAAAATAACTTTTTCATGCTTGGCAATTATTTCCTAAAAGGTACATTTACATTTAATACTTCAATGACATGTGACTGACTGACTGACTGTATTTATTAAAAAAAGAAGAATGTGTCCAATATTCATGAAATGGTCATGAAAAGTGGTCATGAAAAGCTTATGATGTACATGTACATGTACAGGTATAATGATATTATGGCTGGTAAAAATGGAAATATTTGTGAATAGTTTCCGACAATATTAAGTAGTGTACATTAATTACATTTACAATTCTTTGTATACATGTACAGGTAAATGTATGTACTGTACCTGTATGTAAAAAAATATGTACGATAAGATTCAAGTCAAGTCAAGAGTTATTGAATATTTATTATTTATATTACTTGAATACTGGTAACTGTTATTTCGAAGAAGTGATAAATTCAATTCAGAATTATACAGAGCATTCCCTTACTAAATTGTACATGTACAGTATGTGTATGTAAATGCTATGCTTTCCGTTTCTATAAAAACTGTAGTTTTATGATTTTTAAAATCATTTTTATGCTGTAGACCAAATAGATGAACAATTCACTTTAATAAGAGATAAACAGAAATTAATGATATTTTTGCATTTAACGGAAACCTGGAGAGTTATCTGCGACTACAGTACATGTACATGAACATGCATGTCACGATCCACTGACCAAATTACCAATTTGAGATTCGCATAGAATTAGTGAACTCACATTTCAAACATTTGTAAAGTTTCTTATTACTTGTCCGCTTTAGTTCAAACTTTCCCCATTCTGCTCATCTTATTTTCTGCTTTCATACTTGATGAACTTAGTACAAGGACTGGATTGCCCTTTAAAGGGATCCGGTAACTTTGTCTCAGATTCTGAAACAAAATTTTGGATTTAGCTCATGATGCAATGATAATTATAAACCTTTACATGTAGGTCAGTCAGGAACCCCATGACTTTTACAAGCCAATCGCCTGTCTGATTATCAAGATATTTATGATTGGAATTACAAATTTTGAAAACCGTTCGCCTGACGGTTTTCATAACACTACAGTCTATTGGGGAAAATGAGTATGGTAAAACTGGTCACTCAAAGATTTTTACTTTTTTGAGGCACTTCTTGATCATTTTGAAGCGCAGTTTTTTTAGGGCTTCAATATTACACCATATCACAGACACTGATAACATGTAGGGCCGTGTATCTCAGATTTAACGTTGTTAAACGATCCCTGATGTTAAATGATAGTCAGGAAAACCAAAGTTACATTACAGTCTGCATGTACATTGTATACAACTACAGTACATGTACATGTACATGTACATTGTTTACTTAAAAGAATGCGCATTTAAATTTCATTCGGAAGAAAACGCCTACCGTATATAACGGTGTATAAACCGCACTTTTTTGCCGCCGAAAAAATTTCAAAGTCGGGGGTGCGGTTTATACACGGTACACCAACAAAAAAAAAAAAAAAAAAAAAAAAATTTTTTTTTTTTTTTTTTTTTTTAAGTTTCAATTTATGCCCCTCCACCTGGCGCTATGCCTGGCAATGTCTCCCGGCTCGGTAATCGGTGTGTTGACTCACCACTCGGAAACTAGAACAACACTCAAATTTGTCTGTCATCTTGGTTTGAAAGTAATCTTTCTGATAGAACTCAATATGTAGTTTATAATAATAATTCCTCCAATTTTTTTTCTATTACATGGTGTACCACAAGGTTCTATCCTAGGTCCCTACTGTTTTTTAATTTACAGTACCGTAATGATCTTACACACAAAAGGGCGAAAAAGAGGGGTGCGGTTAATACACGAGGGCGGTTTATACAACGTTATTTACGGTACATCCGAAATAAACGGGTCGCTGCATCATTGGTCTAAATTGCATTTGTCTTGTACCACATGTACACTGTACATGACACATGTAAAAACTCAATATTGTGAAAATCGGTAGGGGTTAGTGTGTTTGAGGGGTGGGGGTGTGTGTTTGTGGGGGGGGGGAGGGGTGTGTTTGTAGGGGTGTGTTTGAAGGGGGTTTTGTGGATTGGGGGGGGGGGGGGGGGTGAAATACCCAGTACCTACTGTGTACACAATTACACATTATGTACATAAATACAATGAATGTCCATCACAACAACAAAAGGGTACAGCCACACAGGCAAGTATTTCTTATTTTGATACTCCATTCACAACACTGCCTTCCATAAAAAATAACTGTTAAAGGATCAAAAATTTAGGTTTGCCACAACTATCAGTATCAGCAAATGACAATGTCAATGGGGAGATGTACATGTACGTGTACAGTGGTACAGTGGATGTACAGTACACATTTACTTTACATTGTTGTAACTACCATAAAAAACTGCCATGTGCTCAACTTTTCTCGATACAAAAATAGAGCCGGCATTTAAGGGTAAATTGATCTTTCATCTATCAAAAGTACATAAACTGAACATGTAAACTAGATTTTTTTACTGTTAACAATGAGTCATTTTTCAAATCACTGTTCTATTAAAGCTTGTCAAATGATATTTAATACTCATATCATAGTCATACATGTACAGTACTTCAGAGCAAGAAAAGAAAAAATGAAAAAAGAAAGACCTTTTCAAAGTATGTAACTTGGGAGAAAGACTCCCTCATGACAAAAATCGGTTGAAATCTCTAGATCATAGACAAAAGTAACAAAACAACAACAAATAAAACTGACAAATCGATGATAATGCATGCTCATAAATCACAAGATAATACAAGACAAATCCTTCAATCAATTTTTTATCAAAGAAAAGAAAGAGGGCACTACAAAGACCTATTGTGTAGGGATTTTAATGAAATCCTGCATCCACTTTCTTCTCCTTATATATTTTTTTTTTAAAGAATTACCTCTCCTGCGGACAGTGACTGGACGTTGGTATCGCCACCAGGACGTAACTTTGACCGAGACGAGATAAGCCCCCATTACCAAAGACAGGAAAACCAGCAGACCGATCAACGCACATAGACTGAGAAAATACCAAGAATTCCTTTCATCTTTCCCTGCTTTTAATATATTCACGTTCAGATCTTGCGGAGCTGATCCAAGCGCAGGTTTATCTGCTTTGACACCATCCGGCTTTCCTGCAAAATCAAGCGTAACTTGGACGTTAGATGCTTTATCGTTCCTTGGCGGGTTTGTGGCAAGATTTATATCAACTTGTTCGTAACGTACGCAAGGACCAGAATCGATGTTTATTCCACATGTTTGGCAAACTGTATCCTGCGTTGGAGTGCATGGTTTCTTTGTTACCTGATCTTGTTTGCAAAGAGAGCAAGGTAGGCATAATTTCAGTGGTACAATTTCCTCTTCTTCATTTTCATTGGGTACTTTGCTACTGCCACCATTAGAGGAACTCCTCGTTCCACTGCGCCCTACGATAGTAGCGGCCGCTGCTCGCCCAGTCCGGCGGCGGGGACGCGTATGCTCGTAGAATCCTGGTGGGCACACTTTCTCGGCCACTGTGCCTGCAGTCGAACGCTGCAAAACTATGTGTACAGTCGAGCCATTGCTGTTGCCCACAACACGGGCCTGTATTCCCGATGCATCCCGTAGTGACAGCGAGTGTATCGGCAACAAAAGTTGCGAATTACTGATCAAACACAGCAAAACGTACCACATTCGTTCCACCATGTTAAACGGGAACATCTCAAAATTGTTATTTTAAATAACTTGCTCCCAGAAACGGACGTAATCATTGCGTAAGAAGTCTACATTTGATGACAGAAAACACCGGAATTCCCCCGCAGTGAAGTGACAATGGGTGTTGCTCACATATTCGCCTCCATATTCATTTATAGCCTCATTTCCAGACAATTTCTATTTATTATTATGTCAACGTTTGTTTGTTTTGGGTTTTTCCAATGTATCTATTTATATTGATTTATTTGTAAATTTATATTCTTACTATCTACTTTTATTCTGTTTATTTTTATGAATTAATATAGGTAGACATATATATAATGAGTTTAGACGCATAGATCTTAGTAAAAAGAAAAAATTATGTTAATTATTAAATTATTTTTGCCCCGGGAATATATTGAATCAGGGTTGAATGGTTGATGATATACGAAACTTGATTTCATTGATGTAGTCCTAGAATCGACAGTTGGTTAACAATCAGTTGTGTAGGCCTCTAATTTGGTTGCAAGTTTTGCAACATGATAGCATCTTTGTAAACATCGCTTGAAAAAGCGCAAAAGTGACATTTGTTATGGCAATTAGATTCCCCTCACTGAGATAAATGATCAAAGAATTTTCAGAAAACCCAGGCTATTTTTTGACAATTCTAGTTTTATTTTTGAATGATTGGCCCTCTCTCTATACATAATATATCATGTATTTTTCTTTTTATTCAATTTCATAGTTTTAACTTTTAAGGGCATTTGTGTCATCCTATAGAAATTGCAGTTCTGTTTTTATCCTGTTAATCATAGGGCTATGTGTTTCATCATTGTCTAAATTTTAGAAATTAATTAACCTTTAAACATCATTATTATAACACGTATTGTTATCATTATCGAAAAATTAGAGCAAATTAAGTAACACTGGTGAAAAAAGCGTTGTTTTTAAAGTCTTGAATGAGGTTACATATTTGTGTACGTTATTTGAGTAGAGTAAACAAACGACTCTCTCAGTAATTTGGTATAGCGCCATCACAAGTTGAGGTGCTATATAGTGTAAGTACCGGCACTGTGATTATAATTGATTTGAATCATTCGCAACTTATATGAATCATAACTGTTTACTCAATAGATAGGAGTTGCGATTAATTTCAAGTTGCCTTTAATTTGAATCAATCACAAATATTTATAAGAAGGGATCCTGGGATTTCTTTTCGTTCTGCAGATCCGTATTGCATTCAATGGAAGCAAAAATATTAAAGAAAAGAATTGAGAGGACTTGCTCTTAACTTATCTAAAATCAGAACGGTATCACTCGAAAACATACGATTGAAATACAGTTTTTATTAGAATTTGGCTCGAAATCAAGTTTGACCTTTTCTTTTATTTTGATTCAGATATATCAAAATATAAATTCTGATAGACAATCATTGTGATCAGTTAATAAGCGTTTCCTTTTTGTAAATCATGGAATCTTTGGTGCAATCAACACAGGAAATGTTTTAAAATAAGTAAAGAATATCCATTTGATTAGGCGGATGTTATTGATTATGGCCTGACAGATTAAATGCTGACACTTCCTCTATCTGGATCTATTCAGAGGTTAGGAGATGATATATGTCGGCCCTTAATTTAAGTTCAAGTTCAAAGAAACATTTTACTTCTTCCATTTCATTTTCTACATCAACAAAATACTCAAGTATATTGTTGTATGTTGGAAGCTTGTCGAATAAAAAAAAAATTAAAAATCAAGTGTAATGAATTTGTACAATGACATGAAAAAGTGTATTCACAGAATTTAGACGTAGTACTTTAAAGTTAATTAAAGAACTGAACTAAAATAATTCTAATCGTTTTGCTATGCAACAAAAAGATTTCGTATGATGCTTTAGGCCTTTCAACATTCTGCAAAAGTTTGATATCAAAATTCAAGGATATATTTTAGGCTATTTTAAAGATCTTTTAACATATAAATCATTTCAGAGTTCTAGTTCTAAGCCATAACTAGACCGATGTGAAAAGATGAAAATATTACGTCTTCTTATATTCCTATTTATTTTAATGCATTAAATTTAATGTAACTTACATGAAGTCATGTTCAACTTATATCTCGACATGATTGTCATGAAGTCTTATGTGCTGGCTATTTTTAATTATTCGTCGGGCTCCCATTTATAACAGGATCATTCTAATAAGGTCTATGACATAAATCGTTCCAAACCCGCCGGAAGGTCTATCTTAAGTTATAGGCAAATTTAGTATTGATGTCTATTTGTAATTGGTTCTTGTCTCTTTTTTAAATGGATTATATTGAATTGATCAGCTTTATAGAAAAGTACAAAAACAGCAAGCCGTTATGTATAGGCCATATTCTATTCTATTCTGTTCCTTTTTAATGATATGATGTATGGCTATATAATAAGTCTATCTCTCTCTCTCTCTCTCTCTCTCTCTCTCTCTCTCTCTCTCTCTCTCTCTCAATCATACATCACCCGTCGCTGAACGAATATGAAATGACAGTATATGATTTTCACTCATAATCACAACAATGTACTCTCTCTCTCTCTCTCTCTCTCTCTCTCTTTTAAATGGATTAGGCCTACATTGTATTGATCAGCTCTAATTTTAGAAGAATAAAACAACAAGCAAAAGGCCACATGCAGGCCTACTCTATTCTGTTTCTTTATAGGGCTATAAAGTCCCCCCCCCTCATCTCTCTCTCTCTCCCCTCTCTCTCAATCATGCATCACCTCGCTGAAGATTTTCACTCATGATCATAGCGTACTCTCCCTCCCATCCCCCACCCCACCCCTGGTACACTGGCTTTGTATGACGACTGCCCAATTAAAGTAAGCCTACTCGGATGTTTCTGCATTTATTGATAATTTAAATATAAAACATTCAAATAACAATAATACTATATAATATAATTGATTTACATAAAGAGTGCACGTATGACAACTTGAATACACAAAAATAAAAATGCATAATTGAAAGCTTGATAGTATGGAGTTAAGTAAAAAAAAAAACATAATAATTAAGATAAATGCAGCCAACTAGATCTATATACCGGTAGGCAAGAATGCTTGAGTCGATCTCTAGCAGCCTTGGGAAAAGGGGTTAATTTTCATCTTAAATTTCATGATTCGAGATTCACTGATATTCATGATACCATAATTAGCGTTGCGGACTTGAACCTCTAGCCTTTTAACACCCCCCCCCCCCCCCCCCCCACGGCCCCACCCAAAGACCCACCCATCGCCTCCTCATTTATAGCGCGGCGATAAAATCTAGTACGATTGGGGCATGGCGCGTGTTAAACCTATGGGAAGTACGTTCTTTCCCTTTTGAATAGTGTCTGCACGTACGTGAGACTAGTCATGTTCGCTAGCGCATTAGCGCTGCGAAGAAGTTGTATATCCATCGCGAACTATGTGTTTATATAACATTCCTCTTCGTTTAAGTTAGTTAAGTTTTATTGACTAATTATTGTGATGTTCTCCTTATTGACGTGCTGCCTCCTCTTCAGATTTCTAATTTGATTTTAATTGTTGATGTAATGATGCGGTACCGGTAGTGGATTCCCGAGTGGATTACATGTAACACTATTAAAAACAGACCTCTACTACAAATACTGTCTAGTACGCACACGCCCAGTATTAGTCTGTAAATCAAGACCCCTTTTTAAAAAAAGCCCCAATCTGTGCCGCATAAAACGCGTTATTTTTTTATGCGGCACAGATTGGGGCATGGTGCGTGTTAAACCTATGGGAAGTACGTTCTTTCCCTTCTGAATAGTGTCTGCACGCCGAGACTAGTCATGTTTCAACTTTCGACGAATCGACACACGTACATCATGACATGCACGCTGTCGAGGGTCGCGGAGAATTGCGCCACTTTTCGAAGTCAATTGCGCTGCCGCTCTATCGCTATACGCATAGCACTGCGAAGAAGTTTGAATATCCATCGCGAACTATGTCATGATGTGTTTGGATAACGTTCCTCTTCGTTTAAGGGTAAGTTTTATTGACTAATTATTGTGATATTCTCCTTATTGACGTGCTGCCTTCTCTTCAGATTTCCAATTTCATTTTAATTGTTGATGTAATGATTTTCCATACGGTACGTGGATTACATGTAACACTATTAAAACAGACTCTAGCCTAGTCTAGGCCTAACTAAGTTAGAGTAGGCCTACTACTAGCAGCTAGCGTGAGGGTGGCACACATCAATGCCAATGAATGGGGTTTTGTAATAACGGCACTCAAAGAATTATGCCGACACTTCATCCCAAATTGTCCGTTAATTAGCTAAACACTAGGCCCTAGGTGTAGTGTAACCTATTTTTGTTATAAATTTGTTCATAGGCCTAGCCCTAGGGCTAAGTTTATAGATTCATAATCAATATTTACTTCTTCATTTCTTGTCTGCGTTTGTGTGTGTTTGTAAATTGTAATCATTTTATTCTTTGACTTTTGCACATGCAGGCAATATTGCCAGACGATCTAGTTCAGGACATACATGTATGTTCCTTCGATGATGATGATGGTCCCAACTTTTCGGCAACCTTTCGCCTGAAGACGAAAACAATTGATAGTTGGCAGCAGTGGCTTTCGGCTTTTCAAGAGACTAAAGTCACATGGAGGGTAAAAACAACCATGCCAGCATGTGGTCGATCTGTGATATTCAAGGTAGGACACCAACCATGTCCATTTCATTAGATTGAATTAATTATACTTTTTACCATTACCATCCTGTTGTATTTATTTATGTCTTACTATTCCTGAACAACAACTTTTTTGTTTTTTGTTTACTGTTCTTGCATTCTTTGATATGTTTAATGTCACTACATTGTTATTTATCTGTGACCAGTGAGCAACAAATTTCCATGTAATGGACAATAAGATAGATAGATAGATAGAAATGGTTAGTAAAAAGATCATCGCAGCCAATGGCTGAATTGCGATCCATTTCACAAGGTTATATACAATACAATTGCAATTCAAATTGAAATAACACAAGATATGACATAAATCAATAATCAAACATATAGACATTTCATAAAAATTCATTGATTGTATTCATTTTTGTTAAAAAAAGAAAGAGATAGGGAGAGGTGTAGGAGAGGGAGAGTTGGAGTGATGACAAAGAGAGAGGAGAAAAAGAGAGAAAGGAAGAGAGAGAAGGGGGACGAAAGAGAGAGACGGAAAGAGAGAGAGAGAGAGTGAGAGTTGAAGAGAGGAAGAGACAGACGAAGGGTACCCTATCATTACAGATGAGGGGAGATGGCAAGAAATGTTCAGTAATGCAGAAAATTGAGATAAAAACTATCAAAATTCATTCACATAGTTCAATCATGGACTGTGAAATTCTAAAAATACAATTTATATATAAGTAAAAGGTCAACTATAGGCAATCCATACTTCTTAAGGCAACAAAACATAAACAACTTCCTATTACACCTTTTTGTGAGATCGGATACATGACTATCCCACTTTAGGTTTGATTGTAAAATTATTATTAAATCAATTCAGTTCAATTTATTAAATTCATTTTTGTCAAATATTATGAACTTAAATGTTATGTTTTATGTTGTATGTAATGTGATATAGGTTATGTGTAATATGTTATTTAAATACTGTTGTGTCAAATACTTATAATATTGTAAAAAGGTTATTGTAATTGATTGTCTTGGTTATTGAAAATGAAATGTAATTGTAAAGCTAATGGAAACAAATGCTTCTTTTTTCATGTTTCACTTGTCCTGTGTATCTTTCGATATGAAGTCATTTTTTGTATTAGCGATTGCATAAATTTTGTATTTTTATTTTGACTCTTCAGAAACAGTACAGATGCCAGCACGGGCAACAAAGAAACAAACAGTACTCACATTTCCACCCAAAAAACACAAATTGTGTATCAACTATGACAGTGACCATCAGGAAAACCGAATATTCAAGGAAAAGGCAGAGCAGGTGGGTAAAACTCTAGCATTGCATATTCATTTTTACAGAGGGTCTAATTACAATGATTATCCTGTTTAATATCAATATATGACTGATTCAGTTCTATTTTATCAGTCGGAGGGGGTGGGGTGTAAAATCTTGCCTTCAGGGTGCCGTTGCATAAAACTTGCTATTATAGAAACTTTTCATGGAATACTGGATTTTGATTGGCTCTTGAGCAACGTTACCATGGTAGTTACCATTGAATCATACCTAAATGAAAGCATACCTAAATCATACCTCAATGAAAGCCCTACATAAAGTCTGTGTGGGAAAAAGCAACAAACTTAATATTTGATTTAATAAATTGATTTGTTTCTGATTTTTTCCAGCAATGAGTATTACAATACTGTAGTGGACAAATTTACCTTTAATATTAATTCTGCGAAAAGGGATTAAAAAACTTTTTAACAGAGAGTGGGATGTTTATTGAGAAGTGAATACCGGTAAGCTATCTGACCATATCTGACTATACATTACCATTCTATACTTTAAAAAAAATGGGGAAAAAATGAAAATAAAAAATAAACATTCTATGCTAATGACTACCATTTTTTTTCTTCTTTTCTTTTCATTTTTTTTCTCTTTTTTTTCTTCTGCATACAGGAGTTTAGATACCCACATGCCGGAATGGCCAACTCAAGTGGTGATAGCCTGGAACCACAACCATGTATTGGACATCCCCGCCTCACTCAAATACAGGGATGTGGGTGAGGATGCAGTGAAGAACCTTCAAGAACTGTTCGAGCAGGGGCATTCTCCACAAACCGCTCTCACCATATTGCATAGTGATATGCAAGTTGATGACCCCGAGGGATATATCACAAAATCTGCCGACAGGGCTGTGTGTCCAGACCTTCAATTTTGTTATAGGTAAACAATTTTTCCTATCATCATCATCATCATTACCATTCATTATTAAATGTTACCATTAATGATAACGCAGTTGATAAAATATCTGATTTAAAATGTATAATACAAATAAAAAGGAATAAATATTTCTCTTTGCTCAAATTTATTTCAAAATGTTTGTTCCAGTTGTAATTCCATTTAATTTCAAATGTCAAATACATTCAATTAAGACCAAGTATTGCACATAACGGCACACAGTGGAGGTGCCTTGGTCAAGTGGTCTAAGGCCCTTGACTGGAGATGCGAGAATCAGGGTTCTCTCCCTGGCATGGCACTTGATTTAACTCAAATACTCAAGTAAATAAAATTACAATTATTGCAGGTTCTCTGTGACACTGTTGTACAGAAGTTGATATGTCCAAGGATACTATCTGGCTCATGACATATATTGAAATGCTTCCTGATGGTCTTTCCTTATCGGTTGCCTGAGAAATTTGGAATAATGAATGATATGTGAGTTTGTGTATTGTGTTTTTTTCTACACTGCAGACTATACTACCACATTTTTAAACAAAAATATGGAGCTGGGAATGGACAAGAGATGATTGATGCCATTGAAGAGAGAGTGTTCGCCCCATACAACGCTGAGATGGGAATGAAGTGTGTGTCCATGACCAAAGAAGATGACCACATCATCATAGCCATTTGCACACCAATGATGAGGAGGGTGCACACAACAAGACAGAGTGGAGAGATGGTGTTCATAGATTCAACAGGTATTTCAGGCCTAGTATTATTATTACAATGATATGCTTACAAGTAATTTGAAAAGTAAGATATATTCTTTTGCCGACATGTAACCTTTTTAGGTGGCTTTGATCTTCATGACTCCAGCCAAATTGTAACAGAATATGGTAAAAAAAATTCTTTCCAAATTGACTTGAATTGCAATGGAAATCAACATTAATTTTTTCTCACTGGATGTAAAGTGGAATAAATGAGGTATACATAATTATGTATTATTATTATTATTAATAATGTAGTGAACAAAATACAATACAGTAAATCCTAACAGTCAATAGTGGGTCTGGCTTATCATGCTTATGAAAAATGGATACCTCTTGCGAGGTTGGATGCTTTATTACAATCACCATTTCATACTTAGTGTCAGTGGTCATTATCTATAGAGCCTGCTGGAGAAAGATCTCATCTTGTGCAAACTTGGCCCACATTATACATGTAATACTATAACTCTAATGCAATTCATGCAGTACAAAATTGTTGATCATGTTATGTGGGTCTGTACATTAACTGTTGTAATGACTTCAGAACTCATTTTGCAGGTAATATTGATCGCCATGGTAGCCGATTATTCATACTCTTGACACACAACAGTGCTGGTGGTCTACCTCTGGGTATTATGATAACGTCATGTGAACAGCAGAGTGTGATAGAGAAGGGTTTGAACCTTCTCACTGAGGTGATGCCTCCTGATTGCTTCAATGGTAGAGGAGCTGCTGGGCCGAACATCTTCATCACCGATGATTGCACAGCTGAGCGGACAGCACTGCGGAATGTCTACCCCTCCTCCACCTTGCTGTTGTGCATATTCCACGTCCTTCAAGCAGCATGGCGCTGGTTGTGGGATAGCAAGCATGGAATTCCCAAAGGTTCAAGACAACCCTTGTTCCAGAACATCAAGCGCATAATGTATGCATCTACCCCCGAAGAAGCTGCCACAATACACTCAGATGCTTCTGAAGACCCTCTTACATTAAGGTATTACAGTTTGACTTCAAATATTGGCCTAATCATAATCCATGGAAATAATAGAAACAAAATATATGTAAGCAGAAGTGATCTGATTGTATTTCAATGAAACCATGATGCATTATATGATGTAGTGATGAATTTATTAGATTTCAGATTTTTTGGAGTAAAGAGGTGAAAGGTCACACATCTGTTTTAATATAATTTCAGCTAATTACAGTGACAAACTGCAAACTTATATGATATTTCAGCCAAATTCGGGGCACTTGTATACTATGATGCAACAAAAAAACTGATTGAGACTAAGGTCTGTTATATCTTAGGAACCTTTATCATGAGATTGAGTAAATTCATGCATAAGGCATACATTTGCCTGTACAGTGCAACATTTTTCATACCAATAGAAACTGTCAGAACACATTTGAAATGGACATTAGAATTGCACACACAACAGTGCCTTAATTGTTTGTAAATTTGCTCATTCATCTTCTAATTTCATTGTCTACAGATATCCGAAGTACCTAGAATACCTGAACGCATTGTATGAGAGGCGAGCCTTTTGGGCACTGTCATTCCGATCATCCCTTCTTGTCCGCGGAAACAATACGAATAATTACGCGGAAGCTGCGATGAGGGTGCTAAAAGATAACATTCTTCACAGGACCAAAGCCTTCAACATCCCTCAACTAGTGCACTTCATCTTGTCTCGCCTTGGACCGCATTATCAGAGAAAACTTGTTGCTGTTGCAAACCAGAGACCCATGATATCTACTCGAATGAAGCCTACAAGCTGCAAAAAGGAAGATATCTCAAAGGTATAAAGTTATATACTTTGGCATGATATCAAAGTTGTTGATTTTGTACCTGCACCTTGAATGGCATAAGATTTGATCCAAAAATTCAAAATTGTGATTTATATGTTGTAAACTTTTAGAAATATAAACGATAAATCATTTGAAAAATTGGGCCATTAATCACATTATATTTCAATACAAATTAAGACATATTAATGAAGATTCTTTTTTAATGTTGCAGAGAGTATTTTCTCTATGAACTTGTTTAATGGAAGGACAATAAATAATATTAAAAACATGATTACTATAGCGGTATAATGATGAGAGAGATGATTTAAGTCATACTTTTTTAATATCTCTTATTTATTTTTTGGCGGGGGGTGGGAGGGAGGAGGCAAGAGCCCTTCACCCTTCCCACGTTTCCCTCTTTCCTTCTTATTCCTCTTCTTTCTTTCCTTTTATATTTTCTTTCCCTTTCCCTTCTCTCTCTCTCTCTTATTTATTTTTTGGCGGGGGGGGGGGGAGGAGGAGGCAAGAGCCCTCCCCCCCCCCCGTTTCCCTCTTTTCTTCTTATTCTTCTTTCTTTCCTTTTATCTTCCCTTTCCCTTTCCCCCTTTCCCTTCTCTCTGTCTCCCCCATTAACATAGTAATAACGAAAGAGACCACTCAATCTGTAATCAAGACCATTCCATTTTATTTAATACATTTCCGATTTACTTAAATTGGCAACTATTACCTTCTGTCCCAGATCCTCATTTTAAACGACTGATGCGAAAGACTAGTCGACGCACCCTTCGAGAAAAGCCTCCCCGCTTTTATCGAAAGGGTGTGTTAAAACGGTACTCCGCTCTCAACGCATCCTTTCGAGAAAAGCCCCCCCCCCCCTCTTTTATCGAATGGGTGCGTTGAGCACACCACACCGCGCCGCACCGCACCCTTTCGATGAAAGCCCTACCATTATGCTCGAATTATAACTTGATCAGTAATTATGTTTATGTAAAGTTCTTGTATTGTACCTCTACATTGTTTCTTTCCTTCCTTCCATCTCTTTTTCTTTCTTTATTTGACTTGCTTGTTTTTTTTTTAAAATCCCTCTATTCAATATTTGTTTTTGATCTTCTTCTTTCTTTTTCTTTTGTCTTCTTTTTTTTTTTGGTCTTTTTCTTTTCCCTTCTTTTTTCTTTCTTCCTTCTTTCTTCTTCCCTTTTTTTTCTTCTTCTTCCTTCCCTCTTCATTCCATCATTGTTGTTTTTCTTTTCCTTCTTTTTCTTCTTCTTCTTCTTCTTCTTCTTCTTCTTCTTCTTCTTCTTCTTCTTCTTCTTCTTCTTCTTCTTCTTCTTCTTCTTCTTCTTCTTCTTCTTTTTAGGTTTATATATATATATATATATATATATATTTAGAAGTATTTGTTTCTGTTTCATGAAATATAACAAGAACCATTAATTTGTTTGATTATAGGTGATGCTGCTGCCCTACCACATAACTGGCTAGGTGCACTTCAAGACGATGGTATTGCTCCCCTTGAGGTTGAGGGAACCACTGACCAGCCAGATGAACAACTGGAAGAAAGACCACAGAGAGACTCCCTTGAGGTTGAGGAAACCACTGACCAGCCAGATGAACATCTGGAAGAACCTATTTCCTCACAAGGTTAGTTTTCTGTTGCATTTAATGAAATAGTAGTTGTCAAAATTGTTCCAAGTAATTAACTAATGTCTAAGGAAGGAATGATTCAATTTTGAGTTCATATCTAGATTTTAAGTATATTGTCATTGTTAAGATTTCACTCATTTTCTGGAAAAATGACAGTGACTAGATGGAAGCAGTATGTCTTTTATTCATTTATGTATTAATTTCTTCATGCCTTCCCTAATCTTCGTAATTTATTTTATTTATTTTTTTGGAGGGGGGAGGGGGAAGTAGGTAGTTATAATACTCCATCTGTACACAATTAGTTACCTCTTGATGCATGCCCCTAGACAGTACACTTACTCTCCCTCCCATATTAGCAACATATTGACTCGTTCCCAGATGAATCACCTCTAAAAACTATACCTCCCCTACAAATTTATTTGATGAACATCCCTGAAAAAAAATCAGTTACATGCATTTTTTCCTTATCCCTAGGTAGTTGTCAGCTGGAAAATATATAGGAAAGATCTGGACATAAATCCCTACACTGTTTATACATTCTGTTTGATAAAGAACCAGTACAGCTGTCCCCATCCCATAAGCATGTAGTTTATTTGGGTTTGTTCTCCCATTTTGATTTCTTCAAAAGACACAAAGTGGATGAAGATAGTCATATGAAGTTACTGTAAGAAATGGGATAAATTTGCACTTTCCTTTTTGCCTGTATTGAAAGGAGGTAGTTGTTCTGGGGGGAGGGGGGCAGGGGAGGGTAATTGATGCATGTTGTAACAAAATAATCTGATTATCATCATTTTCATTTTTCCACAGATGGTGACACGTCACAAGAATGTGCAAATCTGGCAGTGATGTTCGACACACTGAAGAGAAAGCTGGAAAATAATCCAGAGACATTTAAGGAGCCAGTCAATGCCATGTACCATACTTTCCAAAAGATGACTGATAATAATATGGTGTCAGCCATGTTCATGTTTGGAAAGTATGGGACAACTAACTTGGCTCCCCGCAGGTTCCTTGGTTCATCATTAGGATCACACGGACCAAACATTGGTGTACAACCAACTGCGATTGCACGACGGAAAGCTGCAATGGGGGGAAGGAGACGTCTGACATCTGGCAGACCAACCAAAGATGCTGCTGTAGCTGAACATGGCTACTCTAGGACGAGGTCAGAGCGTGTGCTGGGCGTGCATCAAACAAAGAGATCCAGAGTTGCCGCTCCTCACTCGCTGAGTCATGCTACAAGCATGAATGTAGCTTTGGGGAAAACGCACAGTGCGCAATAAAAGTGTAATTGGCAAATTAAGTACACTCAACTAAAAAAAGAAGAAAGTAAATTCACTTTCCATTCAGATTTTTTACAGAAGCTTCAATGAAAATTCAATGCAGCATTATAGCATGTATCAAATTAAAGGAAATGTTATGGCCATTTAAGCTAGTAGGTGAACCAAAAGAAAAACTTTAGGAATGAGTGAGCACATTTGATTGATTATTTTTTCTTCCAAGGTACAAAAGTAAAAATTGCAAAAATTGACAGTTTGTCATTCATTGTAAATGCCCTTCTACAACAGTGGGAACGATAGATCAAACTTACACATTGAGAAACTTGGCTAAAATCACACAATTGAGCCTTTATTCTCTGTTTCTACTTCCAACCCCCCCCCCCCTACCCTACAGCCTGCCCCTCCCCTCACCATTAAAAAGAACAGAAAAAAGAGAGAAGCTTTTGCTATATCCAAATTTCAAATATGTTTTTAATGCTACTTGTAAGTGGGTCCAATGGTCTCGTTACCAAAATGTTTGTGGACAGTGTTAAATGCAACATATTCCCTACATGTTCATTTTATTTTATTCCCACAGTGTGTACTTGGGTTAATTATGAAAATTTGATTTTCCTCCTGTCATGCTTTAAGATAGACCTGTGATATATATTAATGCTCTGACAATTTGAAATGATTTTATTTCTGAGAAATTGTAACTATGAATTGTCATAGTAAAATATGGGTCAGGCCACATTATAAATAACAATACAGGTATGACATTGAAAGATTGATGAAAAAATTATGTGATGGCCCCAAACTACTCTGTATAACTGGCTTTAAATCTCCATCTGTTCAGTTACCAGTTGCATCAAAACGTTGGAATTGATAAGATTACCATTATTTGCATATTTTCATGAATTTAAAGTGAGGCTTTAAAAATCTGTGCACTCAGTAATTTTAAAATGCCTACACAGCTGTAAAGTTTTAAAACTTGCCACTAAGTATTCTAATGTGTAATAATTGTTATGCCTCCGTTACGAAGTAGCAGGAGGCATTATGTTTTCGGTTTGTCCGTCCATCCGTACGTCCCATTCTCGTGATCGCGTTATCTGAAGAACCGATTGATGGATTCCTGCCAAACTTTGGTCATGTATGTATCTTGCAGAGCCGATGAACTGATTAGATTTTAGGGTCATGAGGTCAAGGTCAAAGGTTATGCGGCTCATTATGTATGCAAAAATAGCTTGTGATCGCATTATCATTAGAACAGATTGATGGATTCCTGCCAAACTTAGATCATGTATGTATCTTGCAGAGCCAATGAACTGAGTAGATTCTTGGGTCATGAGGTCAAAGGTCAAATGTCATGGGCTCATTATGTATGCAATAATAGCTTGTGAACGCACTCTCATTAGAACTGACAGATGGATTACTCTTTAACTCAGGACGTCTTGCAGAGCCAATGAACTGAGTAGATTTTAGAGTCATGAGGTCAAAGATTAAAGGGTCATATATGTATATGAGAAATTGCTTGTAATCACAATATTCTGAGAACCTGTTAATGGATTACAATGAAACTTAAATTTGACAAATTTCTTCTGTTTTGGTTTGTAAACTGCTATGACGGAGGCATCATTTTCGACTGCGCGCAGTCGAAGTTCCATCTAGTTAGACATACATGTATGACCTATCCTGAAACTATAAGGTTCATAAATGAACTTATTAATCACTTTTGTAAATGGTACGGCTTTTAGCGATTCATCCTTGTTTTAAATGAAACTTTTAGATATTCATCAACTTGACTCACAGTGTTTGTCAGATGAGCAAAAGAGCATACTTGTATGGGGTTGTTTCCTTAAGTGATCTGTATTATAAATCACAGCCTATATGATATCATTAACAGTCAAATCAGTTGGAATGTTTAAGACAAAATCTTAAAACTTCATACTGTTTGGTTTATAATTATTATTATTATTATTATTATTGATAATATTTGAAGTAGTAGTAGTAGTAGTAGTAATACCATTTTCATTATTATTATCAATATTATTGTTGATATCGTTCTTGTTATTACTGTTCTATTAATATTACAATTGTTCCTATATTTGTTTTTAAATTTTCTTAAATTACTTAATTCCTTTTTTATTTATTATTATTAATCGTATCAGACATCTGAGCGGGGCAATTTTTAAATGTTATTGCCCTCAAGGTTTAATTTGTATCATTTCTTCAAAATATAAGATCACTGCTAGCTATAGCCTTGCAATTTTGCAAATGGGGTTTGCATGGCACTCATTCGTGCGATTATACGAAGACATAATTAATGTCAGACAGTACAAGAACGACAATTAAAGGAAACACAAGAGTCAGATTTTTGTTATAGTGTTTTATGTCAATGAACAAGAGTGAGCATAAGAGAGAGAGAGAGAGAGAGAGAGAGAGAGAGAATGTGTGTATGTGTGTGAGCGAGAGAGGGAGAAAGATGGGGGTGGGGGGGGGGGGGTGGGAGAGGAGTGGATGGATGGCGGTGGGGAACTTTTGCAAGGAGTAGTTGGGCATCATGCCATCTGAAAGACCATTAATTATTTTCCTTTTCCATGTGAAAAACGAAATAAACAAAACATTAGCCTAAACAAATTCTTGATAACATGAGCCCCTTCTGTTTTATAGGAAAGAATAAGACAATTAATAGTATTCATAACAGAATTTTTTTTATTTTTTATTTTTTTTATTGGACATTGTGCTGTCATAAAACATGAAATAATGAATTACATAGCTGTCTGATGATGAACCTTAATTTACATTTTTATAAGATCCAACCCATTGACAGAAATTCAATTACAGTATCGTTCAAAACGTTTATCAAACAAGTAATGCAGCATGGCCAACATGATGCATGATGTATTTGAAAGGTGTTGTGGAAATGTCACACTATACTCAGGGATACCCTGCTATACTCTTGCATTACAGCCTTACAGGCATAACATATTTTGTAATACATACACACAACCAAAGCAATTAAAAAAGCATCGTGATATTGAAATACTGGTACATGTGTGTGCATGCGTGCAGCGCTACTTCATCACGCACACGACCACTATTAGTCTGTAAATCAAGACCCCTTTTTAAAAAAAGCCCCAATCTGTGCCGCATATTTATTTAGCAGTTCAGCCCGAGGATCAAGGAATAAAGATGGCGAGTATTGGAAGCTCCGCTTTGCGGAGCGGTTTGTCAAGGCAAATAGGCGCAATATTGTCTTCGAACCTTCGTCTAAGGGCTGGTACAAAGTATTGTGTAAAGAGGGATATTGCTGTGACATCACAATGTTTAGGTAAGTTTGATTCGGCCTTGGTTTTTGCGTTATTAGGATCGTGAAAAGCCGATATGAAAATAAACTTACCTGAAATAATACGTGTGGGACCGTAGTGAAAAATTTAACTTGTACTTTGCATTGTACTAGAGTCTGTGTCTAGACCGTCTACCGTATACCGGTAGCAGATCATGATATTGACAGATAGTTTTGGTTATTTTGCACGGTGGTTGGAAGGGTATCATCGATAATAGATCTAGGTCTAGGCCTAGATCTATATATATTTTTTAAAATCAGGATTCAGTGATTATGAATCATTAAAAATAGAACGGGTAAAAAATGGTAACGTTTGGACTTTGGACTTGAGCTGAGTCTAGTCAATATAATCTTTTCGAAAAAAGTCAAAACATACTAGTTCACCAACAGGTCCAACACCCTGTTGACATGCTCGTTAATTTTGCATACATTTCGATGGGATGTCGGCGAACTTATACGTTTTGAACTTGTAGGGTCTACTTTTAAGAGGAGGTGGTGTGGCACTATACGCTATCGGATCGTTGTCGGGCTCGCACTTTCGTCATGGTTCGAGTATTGAGTCCCATGCTGAGCAGACGAACATGCAAAAATGATTCTTGCTCGGGTTCAGGGGAAAACAGTAACAAAAGAAAAAGTCTTTTAACCTAATTTTTTATCTAATATATTTTTATTTCTCTGCAGGTGTGACTCCCATCCATCTGATCATGCCTGCTCTATCACCGACCATGACAGAAGGGACCATTGTATCATGGCTCAAAGCAGAAGGTACATAACTGTAGAGGTCGCTTTGATCATTCAGGGTTTTTATTCTGAGCCTCACAGGCTTAAATATCTTTATCAATATCAATATCTTAAAAGATTTTTTTTTTCTCAAAATTATTACCTGATAATATCTCTTTCTAGGTAAAGATGTTTTTATTAGGCCTACATGTACATGTACATGTATCTCGACATATCTTGACATTGTATGCCATACAATCTTTCAAGTTTGTTCCTACCGAACATCGGCAGAATTGGGGGGGGGGGGGGGGGAGGGAGGGAGCTGTTAAAACTGATGTACTACAAGTGAAATAAAACAACAAAGTTTTATAAATATTGAATCGATTTCCATGAAAAAGTACAATAAATGCAAATATGTTGCAAAGAAAAGGGGAGGGGGTAACAATTCCAAGGGACAATCTTCCAGTACAGGTGTATAGTTGAAAAGTTTGACATTTTGATTGGAAGTGCAAGGATTCCTGGGTTCAAGCATTTAGTCATTTGGCAGCATCTTTCTTCATTTTCCACTTTACACCCAGGTGGAGAGAGTACTTGTACAGTGTATCTTACGTGTAGGTACCTGGTTTGGGAAGAAATTCCTTGAATGGTGTGTCTAGTGCACTGTTTTATGAGGCTGAAATGAAGAAACAAACCGCGGGTAGCTCCTGATCGGGCAATGGACTCTTTCCCAAAAGTGTCAAAACATTTAGGCAGTAGTGTAAGAGATCCATAGGTGACTGCAAACTTGCGATTGATTTGACAATTTGCAATGGATTTGGATCAATCACTTCTCATATAAGACGGGGCCCAGTTTCGTCTGTAGCCTTGCTGAAAATGGTGTAATATTGAAGCACATTGAGTTCCTTCCTTGGTAATGATGAGCATTACACACATAAACAGTTGCAAAATATTGTTTTAAATTGTTTTGATTGCTAGGAGATCCAATAGCGGCAGGAGACGGTATCTGTGAGATTGAAACAGATAAAGCTACAGTTATCATGGATGCAGATGATGATGGGGTCATGGCTAAAATACTGGTATGTAGTTGTTGTTTTTCCTTCTTCTTTTTCTTCATAGATCATCCTTAATCTTTCCTTTCTTTTTCTCCTTCCACTTTTTCTTATGTGTTATTGTGTTCTTCCTCTTTTATAACAAAGCAAATCTAATACTTTCTTCTTCTTCTTCTTCTTCTTCTTCTTCTTCTTCTTCTTCTTCTTCTTCTTCTTCTTCTTCTCTTGTTGTTGACTTTGTTGTTGTTCTTCTTCTAGTTTGTTTTCTTCTTTTTCTTCTTTTTCTTTTTCCTTCACTTTGTCTTTTTCATTTTTGTACCCTTCTTTTCTTTTTCTCTTCTTCTTCTTCTTAGTAGTAGCTAGTATAACTAGTGGTGGTGATGGTGGTGGTAGTAATCATAATGGTAGTAGTAGTAGTAGTTGTACTAGGAGTTGTAGAAGTTGTGGTACTAGTAGTAATATTAGGAAGAAGAAAATTATGATGATGAAGCAGAAGTAGAAAAAGAAATTTATGAACAGTAGAAGAAGATGCTGAAGAAGGAGGAAAAAGTAGTATTGTTGTTATCATTATCATTATTATGGCATTTTAATCTTTTTCTTTTTTTTTCCCTCTATGATAGAATCATCTGTATTCAATATTGCATTCGACTTCGCAAAAACATAACAAAACATATATATGAATATACATACATGATATAAACAATAGAATTAAAAAAAAAAAATATAACTGATTTTAATCTTGTTGTTGTTGTAAGGTGCCTGAAGGGAGCAAGAACATCCCCATTACCGCCCTTATAGGTCTCATGGTACCTGAAGGTGAAGACTACAAGGACGTTGACATGCCAACACAGACCGCGCCCACGCCCGCAGGGGATTCCCCCAAACAATCGGAGGAAGGGGTTTCAGAGAGTGCTCAGTTCTCTGACATGAGACACGCAGTCACCAAAGCTGGGTGAGCATCAATATTCATGAGTGCTTTATCATTTTGGTTACCTGGGCATCGTTTCACAAAACCGTCATATTTACACGTTCACAGACATCCCATTGAAATGCGTGTTAATTACAATACCTGTGTTTCGATGGGATGCCGATGAACTTGTACATATGATGGTTTTGTGAAACGCTATTGTGTATCCAAAACTGTTTAAATCTGAATCCGGGCTAGTGTCAAATAAATACTTTTACTGTGTGAAGCCTTCTTATGAAACATCTCATGAAAACATTCAAAAGTTTATCCCAAAAGAATAATTTCCTGTTTCAGCGTGATTTCAGCCAGTTAGAATTGTGGTGGTTCCAAGAGATCCTACCCTGAATTTTCTAATTTTGCTTTGAGCAAGTTTCCTGTTTTGGTCCTCAAGGTTGGTAGGTATGAGGTTGTAAGAAACCAGTGTTTGGCAGTGAAGGAATGGAGAGTGAATTACACAGGAAAGCTCAAAAGAGCCCCGATAATCGGAAACAATACAATTTGAAAACAAAATGCTGAGACTAAACCTTGCAGTTAGCAAATTGAAAAGAGATCTAGGCGATGAAAACTGTTTTAGCACAAGCTAATTTGTTTTTGATTGCAGTGAAGGACTGTCTCCAGCGGTTAGAGCGTTGATTGATCAACACCAGATTGATCCTGGGCTAGTCACCCCTACAGGTCCACATGGAAGACTACTCAAAGGGTTAGTACCAGTTCTACCTATTATGTGACATATAGCCAATATCAAAAATCATTATCTATATAAGGCTTCCAAGTGGTACAATAAATCAGTCTATTCAATATCTTTAGCGCAGTACCCGGATGACTGACCAATAATGTTTTTGTATTGCTCAGTCATCCAGGAACTTCAATTATCGATATAAAAAACAAAGCCATATTTGCTAAGGTGAGCCAGATTTTGTTATTTCGCTATTCAGCCTGATATAGATGATATGGCTCTTCTTCTCGCTATGACATTATTGGACCCGTCTCTGACTCGTTCAATATTGTCATAGCTCAAGCATTATATTTTTGTATCACACTCAAAGCCCAGGGCTTGAATTACCCACCGGCAATCAGCAATTTGCCGCCATGCCCCTCTCACTGGCCGGAACATCCTCCACCCACCCCACGGGCTGATCCAGCCGGCGGCAGGGGAGGGGACCAAAGAGGGGGCCCAATTCGTGGGAGAATATTGAGCGGCGAAACAGCCAGCATGTTAATAAGGGGGGGGGGGGCCGGGGAGGGGGGTAGTGAGCACTTTTCTTTTTTGCTCCCGAAAATTTAAAATCGCGCCGGCCGATAATTCGCTCAGTTTTTTTTTTTTTTTTTTTTTTTTTTTGGCGGGGGGGGGGGGGGGGTAGTAAGGTGATTTTACGCACACTTTCCACTTTGGCCTTAGTGCCTCTTAGGATAGATTTGTTGTGCCCTCTCAAAAAAGTGGCCTTGACCAAAATTTGATGTAATTTGAGGCCTGAAAGCCATCCAATATTATATAAATATTAGCTTGCAATACTGATGCAGAGGTGCAGAGCAAAGATGTCTTGTCTGTTTTCATCAGCGATGGTTATATTGACTTTGTGCATGATTGCTTTGCTGAGTTTTGACCTAAAATTTGTATTCATATTTTGTAATTTCAACAGAGATAAACCCTGTTCTGACTGGCCGGTTTGAGAGCATGTTTTCTTTACTGTGGGGGAGGGAGTTATTTCAAAGATATTATGTTTAATAAAATTGTGCCATGGAAATTGCATTAAAAAGACAGAGGCTTACAATAAAATACAGCAATGCCCATTACAATCATATTAATGAAAACAGCAATGACAAAATACATGTACAAACAAAGCACAAAGCTCTACTTTGTGTCATGGGCTTCAGACATTTCTGTTCTTGCAATATCTTGCAACTTATATTACATTTGTTATATGCTAAACAAAGCAGTTCAAAATCAAACTATACTAGCATGTCATTCCACCCATTATCTTTGTCTTTGTTCCCCAGAGATGTGCTCAAATTCATAGAATCGGGAGGGGCAGCTGCTGCACCCCAGCCTGCAGCAGCCGCACCCCCTGCCCCAGCCCCATCCCCTGTACAACCACCACCTGTTGCGGAGAGGGTTGCACCCCCTTCATATAAACAGACAGAGGTGAGTGTGATTACTTTGTTGCGCAATAGCTGTTTTTAACATACTTTACAGACACAAATGAATTTATATGTGGAGTTAAGCATTCTTAACATGTCTTAGTAGTACAGTAAAGGGAAATCCAACCTTAAAATCAAACAACTCAAAGAGAAAGCAGAAAAATCAGAGAAGCAGACTGGTAAAAGTTGGAACCAAATCTGAAAAAAACATTAACAAAGTTATGAATTTTTGAAGCTTGGAGATGTTGCATAGTCTGCCCTTTAATGGTAATGTTATCGTCTATTGAGGTTTATTTTATTATCTTTCTTCTTGCAGGGAATGTTTTCAGAAGTCGATCTGACAGGAATGAGGAAAGTCATTGCAAAGAGACTCACAGAATCAAAGGTAAGACCATTCACCCTCCAGAGGGCCAGGAAGGGGGTCAAATTGATACAGAATGATGCAGCAACACCCTTCTGGGTTACATCAGAGTGTCACTGGTATTAATAATTATAGACCTTATCAGAAGTTAAAAGGCATAGATTACTGTAACATCAATTACCGGTATATACTTTTTTAGTGTCTGTCAGAGGAGTATTAACAGCTCTCTTAAAACTTGAAATATAAAGCTTTGAAAAACGGAAGCTGCCAACCAAAAAAACTAGCTATTGACTTATATCATCTTAGGAGCATGCATATTCACAATGATATTGGATTAATTAACCACGGCTCATCACCTCAACTATATAGGCAAGCCTGTCGGATTCATATGTTATGTCATCACCGTAATGTCATCACTTTAGAAGCCCCCCCCCCCCCTCGGCATTTTTCGCGATAATTTTTTAACGCAAGAAAATCTTGCACTGAAATTTTGTGACTTTTTTCTTTCGAGTCTTGCGCATCTTTTTCGAAAATCGGACCTACCATTACAAAGTCACGTGTCCTTTTGTCTTTGCATGTCAGCCCGAAAATCGCAAATTTTTGTGATTTGTGTACAAAACGTATGGAAATCTCATTTTTCAAATAAAGAGATAAAACATTGGTTATTTGGTCTTGTTTATAGTTTAGGTGTTTATTTTGGGGTCAAAATAGTTGACGGCCAAAATCATAGGGGGGGGGGGGGGGCTTTAGAAGCGCCCCCCCCCCCCCCCCCCCCCCCCCCCTTGGCTATGCAGTTTCAAAATAGCTCAGGCTAAATAGGGTAAATAATAATAGGATAAATATAAATTTTTCTGCTTTTGGATGTCAAGGTTATAGTCTATATATGCAAACCTGAAATTTATTGTATTATTAGGGGAAATTTATGTTAACTTCCTTTTATTTGGTTATTATCTAGACCACCGTACCTCACTATTACTCCATGATTGATTCTGAGATTGTATGTCTACGTTAACAACAAAAGAAATTTGAAATTTATTGTTTCATTAGAGGAAATAAATGCTGATTTTTCTTTTTATGGTATCTTCCAGACCACCATACCCCATTATTACTCAATGGTTGATTGTGAACTGACAGAGATTGTACGACTACGCAAACAACTCAAGAAAGATAACATCAAGGTGTCCGTCAATGATTTCATCATCAAAGCAGCTGCCATGGCCCTCAAGGTGAGTTCTGGGGGGGGGGGCATTTCACAAAACTTGTCATCAGTGACAAATGACAGTTTTTGTTATAAGTTACTGAAATCATTGCTTCTGATCGGTTATCAGCAGATTTGTCATTGAATTTTGTCATTTGTCATTGTCACAGGTCCCATCTTAGACTTGTGCAGAGTTGTGATTGATCCATATCAATCGCAGGTCCTCTCATCAATCGCAAGTTTGCAGTGTCCTATCTGTAATGTACATAGTTGCGATTGATATCAGTGGCAAATGAGTTAAGATTAATCGTAACTGTTCATAAGATGGGCCTGGATTTATTAATTTTTTCCAGACTTTTATCAATTAGATATGATTCTTTATATTTACAGAGCCTTTGAACTTACTATTCGAAAGAGAGGACATAGTTTCAAATTAGGGTCCATCAGAGAGCTGGCTGTACCTCTAGACCAACACACATATCCCATGACTATGTCTGTGGCGTTTAAAAAGAAAGGAATCTCTCTTCACCTCCTCATTCTGATCATGCGCATAATGAACATAGACATGAATATGCATGAGGTTCATAACACCTTGCAGCATGTTTTATTTATTTTACTATTCATTATTAATATCACTATTTTGGAGCTATTCAGAGATAACTACTTAACCACTCTGATGTCTGTTTTTCATCATCTCTCTCACACTCTACAGCAAGTACCTGAAGTCAACGTGACCTGGAACGGCCAGAGCGCCACGCCCCTGTCTAGCATCGACATCTCTGTTGCCGTAGCAACTGATGGGGGTCTGATCACACCCATCGTCAAGGGCGCTGATGCCAAGGGTTTAATGGAGATCTCAGCAAATGTTAGGGTAATAACATAAAAGTTCCAAATTATTTTCTATTTAACTGTGGAAGTATTTAAGAATATCCAAACTCTCACAACATTCAAGAAGTGTCTGAAAACACATCTTTTCCTTTTTGCATTCATATTTCCCCTTTTTTGTAATTATTGTAAGCTTCATGTGATTTGGTTTTCTTTCTTTCTTTATTCCTTAAATATTTATGTTTTTGTGCGCTTTGTATCTAATGAAAAGGCACTTTATAATTTCAATATTATTTTTTACATCATTATAAATTTACAACTTATTTATTTGTACTGTCTTAGCTTGAGTTGTGATTCATGTACATCGGTCGCATCTTGACCTGAGTTTGATACCTCCTCACATAAAATGAGAAAAGGCGATTGTCATTGACTTGCCAGATTATATGGACTATTTTAGAAGACAAGTCCCAGCTATCTGATTATTATACATGTACCTTGGGCAATAGAGATGTCCCAGCTGTGATTATTATACCTTGTTCAAAAAACGTCCTGTGTGTTTTGTAGGATGAGTTTAGGGCACGTTTTGAACTTAAATTGTCATTATTGTACATCAAGAGCACAAAGCAACGAGCTCCAGTAACCAGTAATCAACATTAATTTCCTGATTTGATTTCCAGGATCTTGCAACAAGAGCCAGGGCCAACAAGCTGAAGTTAGATGAATTTCAGGGTGGATCATTTAGGTAAGAACACATTCTTCACAAAAAAAAGGCAATGTAGTTAAAAAATTTAGTATCAAATGATGTGTAAGATTTTTTTTTTTTTTTTTTTTTTTTTTTTTTTTTGGGGGGGGGGGGGGGTATTTGTTTCGGGGGAGGAGGGGGAGTGAGAGGTGGGTAGGCTAAATCCCCATGTTCTTTTAGAGCTAATATTTCAAACACTTTTAGTTATATTAGTAACTTGCAATGGCGTGACATTTTGTTATTATTACTGTTTTATTTGGCAATAAAGACAATACATAAGAAATCAGAAAAACAGACAACTGAGCATGTATAGATTACAGGTAGTACCACCACTGGAATGCCAGTTGTGCCTTTAGTTTGCAATCCATACATTTAATAGCTTCAATAAGAATTATCATGGTTGTTTGTTTATTTGTTCTTTTGCAGTATTTCAAACCTGGGTATGTTCGGCATCTCAGAGTTCAGCGCCGTCATCAACCCACCCCAGTCCTGCATCATGGCCATCGGTGGGTCTCAGCTAGCCATCGGGAAGGACCGCAAACCACTCACCTACATGACTGTCACCATGTCAAGCGACGCACGTGTCGTAGATGGCGCCCTAGCGTCGAGGTTCTTAAAAACGTTCAAGCAGAATATTGAGAGTCCGATAAGGCTGGGTCTGCTTTGATTATAGATATATTTATATGAAATTGAGAATAATTGTTTGTAGTCTGGGTGCTATGTAAAAGTTGAGCTGGTCGATTCAGGGCAAGTCATTCAAGTAACAGTTATGAATAGTTGCAGTTCACAGTGAGGAGAGCAAAACCTGATCAAAATTTGGAACAGCTTATGTTTCTTGAATGGAAAGTCTACACTGTTAGAGATGTGATGTACATGTGAAGCAGAACAAAATAAGAGAAATAGCCCATGATAATATATTCATGGGTTTTTAACTTGTAATCAATATAAAAAACTGCAGAACTTTATCAGATAGATTTCTCTCAAACTTCAGTGATCCGTTTCTCTCATTTTCTACATTATCAAATCCAACATGATGCCTTGGTGGACTTGCCCTCAAAGATATCTAGTAACACCAAATCATTAGCATTGAAATTGCAAGACTTCTTAAATTTGCATTTTGAATGTTGTCTATTCAGAGTCAGACAATCTTTGTTAAACTAAATAATCCCATTTTGGTTCTGAACAGACAATATCTCCTTTGGTGCTGTTTTAGCAAGTAGTATTGTCTCTAGCTCCATTGAAGGTTCATTATATAATAATAATTATAAATACAGCATTTGTTATGTACCATCAATCGAGTAAACTATTCTCAGGTGCAGAGGGATAGAATTAGAATGAGTTACATAGAGAAATGAGAACAAATATGCATAGATGTACATTCAACATATAATGAACTAAAATAACATGCGAACATGTATGACTTTAGATTCTTTTTAAATATTTCTAAGGATTCTGCTGACTTATATACATGTGGCACCCAGACTATAGATGATTTTATATATATTATGCATAGTAATGATTATAGAGAAAAACGTGGATTACATTGAGAGTGTATTCACTATCATACTGATTTTCATAGTATAATGATGCTCTATAAATTTTAATGGTGAGCAGCAGGTTATATAACCATGTGGGTTATATGAGCTTTGCTGACGCCCTTTGACATATCAAACTGTTTCTCAGAATATATGTTACTGCACCACAAGAGATTATGGTAGAACCAGAATGTGTGTGTCATAAAAAGTTTTGCGAGTTATCAAGGAGGCTCGTTTCACCATCATGTAAAGCTTCAAGAATCGGGATGATTCATGAAAGTCACTAAAGTCACTTCTGGTTTTTCAGGAAACGACATATTCAGATATTTTGCATGTTGAATATTATGCTCATAGGATGAGCTTTCGATATTGAGCTTGAAAACTCACCAAAATATTTTCTCAAAAGTTTGAATGATGAAATGTATTTTTTTCGGCCCCAATAAATTGCATGTCAATTTATTGCTTGTGTGGTTTTTAACCTTTTGAAATTTATGCAAAAAAATTTCAACCTGATAATGGGTCAATGAAAGGAAGACTGTTGGTAATACTTATACTTGCGTATCATTTTAGTTTTTATTTTTGTTCATTTTATTTTTTATTTTCTTTACCTTTAAAAACCAGTTAAATAGTATTTTTATTTCGTTTTATTTTCTCTTTCTGCAAAGGAAAAGTTCTGAAAGTACTGCCTTTGTGCTAGACTTCCATGGTTTTTATTTACTGCCAAACCTGTTATTCGCAGGCTATGAAAATTGAGATGTATTATGGTAGAAACCTTACGCAATGAGTGTGCTTCTTTAAAGGGGGTCTTCTAGTACATGTATTTTTGGCCCTCTCCTTTTTTTTCAAGTTTTGTTCAAATGCATTTAAGAAAGAAAAACAAAACGTATCTAATGTTTCGGCATAAACAGCCATTGCCAGTAGAGTATATTTATATAGTAGCTGCGCTGATCTAATTATCCTTATTATTTTATTTAGTTTTTCTCCCACAAATAGACAATTTAAGAAATGATTCTCTCAAATATGAATCACCTTACAGTTGTCTTCTCAAGTGTTCTGTCAAGATATTCTGAACAATTCATCATCCTTCATTTTGAGTTTATCAGGGTTTAGTTTTTGAATTTTCCTATGTGTGTGCAGAGGAACAATGTTTGGATATGTAAAGAAAATAAATGGAATGAAAGGGTGTATCTCTGGTTAAGTCTTATGTTTTTGTTATTGGAACTATCAACAAACATAAACTGGGACAATTGAAGGAAGGAATGATAGAAAGGCACCAGAGAAGGACAAAAGGAAAAGGAGGAATAGGAGGGGAGAGATAGAGAGAGAGATAGGGGGTGAGTGAGGGAAAGGATTTATGGCAGGGAGGTGCCAAGAAAAGTAAATAAGGAGAGAGAGAGAGAGAGAAAGAGAGAGGGAGGATGTTAGGGGAGAGAAGTGCACAGGTAATAGATATATAATATAGAGAGAGAGAGAGAGGGGGGGGGGGGGGGGGTCATCAGATAGATAGATTGGTGGAGAAACTTGAATTAAAAGTACCATCAGAATAGGAAAGGAAGACAAATAAGGAGGGGTGGTGGTAGGGGATACAAAAACATAGGCCTAGAAACAAAGCCAGGTGGGTGTAGAAAATAACCCATGAATTATTTAGTGTAATTACAACAACAAAAATTGAAGCTTTTTTGCTTTCATTCTGATTTTCATATACAATATTATAAAGAGGAACATAATTTTTCTTACAGTATAAACATTATACATACATTGTCTCATACATTGTAAGCACATACATATTTTAAAATATGTGTCATTAGTATCCAAAATGATATAGTACATATTCAATTAAGTATACAAATAATAATATTATTACTATTATTATTAGTACAATTCGACATTTTGGTAGAAATTGAATTTTTCAATATATATATATTTTTTTTTTTACTCCATTCGCTCTAGTCGAGCGCCCCCTTTAGGTAGAGATATGTACATGATTGATGTGTGGCTTTTCCCGATTGAATGTCAAACAATTTTGGGGAAAAGACTGGGGAAATAGAGAGGGAAGAGGAAAGAGGATTAAAACTCTATAGTTTATACCTACAAATTTGACTTGATCTTTCGCCTTTTCATTTTGTAATATAATTTATTGAATTTTTGATTAATGACCATATTCTTGTAATGTATTTGATTTGTTGATTTGTGCGCCAAGAGCCATTATGTTGGCAGAGTTGTGCGCAATAGAAATGTGGAATTATTATTATTATTGATTGTACAAATAACTGAATTAAATTGATTGTCGAATCTGAATTGAATTGAATTTATTTTCTTCTGCAACATGCAAATCGAATTACATTTCAGCGACACAACATATCCAAAATATAACAATTTTTTTGAACGTGTACACAATATGATAATAATAGAAATGGTAGCCCTCCTGCACCCCAGTGAGGAATCTTTTTTGCGTGATTGCATAATGAACACAAAATATAATGCACCAGTCGGAAGAGGAGTGGTAAGAAACGTTCATTTATGGTGTTGGATTTAATTTGTATTTGATATTCAGGCAGTTCTGTCTGTGTTTGTCTTGTGGATTTCCATTTTCTCTAAAAAGCACCCTTTACGGCAATATTCACCGCCCCCACTGTTATTCATTTTAGGTACTTATTTGACAGAAGTATTGGACTCACATCACAAACCCGTTGCTGTAAGAGCGTATCACATGAGGTTAATTTTCCAACTTCCAAATGAATTTTAATTATTGTTAATTGGTGAAGTTGGTTAAAAATTAGCTCTTAAAAGAGCTTGATACACTATTATGGACCTACATCAATGTACGTACTGCTGTATACCGGATGTACTTTATTCAATACAAAAGTACACATCAGCCTTTAAAGGGGTAGAGATTCCTAAAAACACAGCCCACAGAAGATAAGTTTAGTTCGTTTGCTCTTAGTCTTCTATTTGTATTTTTGTTGCTTTTCCGACCAACCTTTGTCTTTCGATAAACACGCCAAATGCTGCATGAGTTATGACGTAATCATGGCACTGACGTCAACATTGTGCTCTTTGGTTACATGAACTTGGACAATTAATCCACGTGTGAGTCATAATTGAAGATCACTTCGTTTTGGAGGGGATTTGCACGCTTTAGAGTGAATTCTATTACAGTTGTGAGTGGATGTAAATCACAGGTAATGATCCTTAGGAGCCTATTACTCCCAAACGAGTCGATGCCCACTCTTTTGTATCAAGTTTACAGGTGTGTTGATGGTGCAGCGACAAATAACAAGTAGGAAAATATAAAGGGATTCGAAGTCTTGCATAGCCGAGGGAAGGGGGTACTTATGGTAGTTTGGGATGATTTGTCAATGGGCGTTTATCCCTGAATTAAATTCATGAAAACAAAAATTAATCGCCTCCCATTATCCGTCTCCGTTGTTAATAATGCAGATGAGAACAAAAAAGGCAGCAGGATGGTTTGGATAATTATACTTCGAAGAATGAGTTCTATGATATAACAAAATCAATGTAAATTGTTTGCGTCAGTCTGTGACGGTACCCGTATCCAAAGCCAGGTACTTCCCCACACGCGTATACGGGCAGACTGAAGTGAGGGGGGGGGGGGGGGGCTAAGTTCGAAACAAGTCATGTTATATCATGTATATTAAGGGCTATTCAGAGAGGAGGAGAGGGAAAATATAAAAGAGGACATCACTTTAACCACAGTTTCTTTTTATTAAGTGATTCATCTTCAGTCTGATGACCAGACTAATCAGCCCACAAGCCTTAATCGGATTTTAATACGCTATTTAGCAAACAATACCATTAGGCCCATACCGATCAGGCTTAAAGAGCAGATTGAGGAATGAGAAAGATGAAAATAATTTGTGAGCTTTTTAAACTTATATTTCTTCTTATGTTATTATGGAAGGCTATCATAGAAAAACAATGTCCTCTGAAAAGAATGGCTCTTCAAATGCCCTCATAAGCGAACTAATTATGACAGTAGCTAGTGGTTGTGGACCACAACTTCAAGCCACATGTTTGTGTAGCTCCAAATACACATTTCGGTGTACTTTTAGAAAGACTGGGCAATTTTATTTTCATTTTGATGATTCCTAAACCTCATGTAATTTTATCAAACACCAATAATTATACGCTACATGATTTGCCTTTTCCGATCGTTTCCAGACAGTTTCCTTCACGATGAGATCGCATGGTCACGCAGAACTCAACTTTATCTTTAAATCCGTCCTGTAATTACACATTAAAATGTAGTTCTAAAGGATCAGCGGCCAGGGTTTAGAGACCTTAAGGAAACTCGACAACAAAAGACCAGAATGGGAAATCAGTCAATATTTATCCATCTCCAATAGGCCGTGTTGTGTTGAAGCGCAGAAAGAATGCAACGCGGTTCTTCTATCGGGGCTAATCGCTCTCTTATTCAATAAACATCACTCCTAATATTGCCTAAATTGAAACTCCGTATACGAACTAAATTGGAGAGGGGGTGTGCTGGGAAGTGCGGAGAATAATGAGGTACATTTAGCGTAAGAGCTGGACCAATTTTCTGATTGCAAAGTGAAGGGTTGCAACCTTGAAAGGACAAGTTACTGGTTCTTATAACGGATTTAAGGGTTAATTACTTCTAAAGAGACGTCTTCGACAAGCTTGGGTGGACCAACGGCGCTACATGATAGCTTTGGAAGAGATTGGAGGAGGGTAATTAGATGGAAATGGTCTTTTGTTGCCAGGGACCTTCCAATTGAGCCCATGGGGTCGTCGACTGTGACAGGTTAGTTCTCAAAGGTCCTATCCGTCGCTTTTTCCGTGACCATTCACCCACCCCCTGAATCAAATGACTCTCTGATAGAATATTGATAGGCCATTGGAAAAGAAAGAAAAGAAAGAGTGACAGTTATGTTCTGAAAAGAGACAGAAAGCGGTCGGAAAAGGGGTAACTTTTCCTTTTAAGAGATTATCATCTTTGGAGTAAATTGGAGACATGTTTCTGCACGTTTGAAATAAAGTGAAACTAATGGATTGCGCTCCCATCGCCCTCATGCCGGATTATAGCTAACCAATCGAGCAAAATTGGAGACAAGTTTCTGCACGCTAATAAGGGGAAACTTCTGAATATTTCTTTTGCCCATCGTCAGACGTTACAGCTGAATATTCAATTCTTCTGCAGATCACGGATTTTGGGTAAAATACAAGCGGGGTGACGAAGAAACATGCACCGCAAATCATCCATTCGGCATGACTCTAGCTCGAGATAAGAGTATGATTTATGAAACTCCTATCTCGGCTGTATATTGGATGTTTGATTTACGCTGAATCACTCCTGAAATACGACAGTGAATTTAGTTTTACAGCTCAGTGAACTTTTCGAACACCCCATCAAAATTTATTTTTGAGGCCAATTTGGATCTATTGATGCACCGTTTAAGGAGTACTGATTTCGAGCAAGAAAAGATTTAATTACTTTGTGAATTCGTATGATTATACGGTCTTTGCAACTGTGGCGATAGCTTGTCGACGTCATTTTAGCTTTAGGACCTATCACATTTTCTACAGTCGTGCTGGGGTCTTTTAACTAGTGCATTGGCTCGCGTCTTCGAAGTTGTGTTTTCTGAATCCTCAACGACAAAATTCCTTGGCCTGGATGAATGAAATTCATTTTCCCGAGTCGTCTGAGAGTTTTCCAGTGAGTGACGGGTGATCACCCAGGAGGAACACAGGGGGAGAGGTCGGGAGCGCGGCCCGGGGTCAACGCGACCAATTCCGGTCGTTCGACCACTGCACTGTGAGGTCTGGGAGACGTTTTGCTAAGCAGACGACATCCAACGCATCTCGAAATTTTTGTGCGTCGCGCGTCGCCCGGAGAACGCCATTTTTTGCGGTTGGAGATCGAAGAAAAAAAAGCTTGACGCGAAAGTCTTCAGAACTTGTGACTTGTGGACTGATTGACCTTGTCATGTAAAGGGTCAGGATCGATTATCATTTGGAATTAAAAAACTACGCGTGACAGGCTTACCACGGATTCACTCGCACAAGTTTTCGTTTCATTTTCTTCGCGCGTCCACCGACTCGATCGTGTTTGCTGCCAGTCTCCGCGACTGATTGACAGGCTTCCCCCGTCGAGTTGACGCCGATAGCCTAGGGGGAGAGTAGCCGCATCCCTCGGTGCCACAAATCCGCTAATCGTTGAGAATCCCCATGGTGACATAAACTAACAGGTAATTCTACTATCATAACCTAAAACGGACCCCTGAAATCCGTGCAATAATAGAGACGAAAATGCCCATCTCGCTCACGAAAAATGCCAGTGATTGTAGTAAGTAATTGCAAAGGTCATAAGGCCGTGGACACATGTACGTACTAAACTAGCCATAAGCAGCGCCGATCACCAAAAAACGGTTTTCAGCAGAAACGAGATCATCTTTAAGAATAGACAGATAGCCTTTGTATTCATCTTACTTTTCATTATATGAGCTTGAAGATAATATAGAATATAAAATACAAGCAGGATTATTAAAAGAGGACCAAACAAGAGCGATTGACGAAAATTTCGTATTCCGGTGGACGTACTAACAACATCTCTCTCTCGAGCTATTGCAATGGATGGTTAATATTTGAGCCTTTTCTCTATACTTGCGAAGCCTGACTTAAAAAAGAAAATAATCTGAAAATACTGCGCTGGAACTTTAGTCTTCAGAGGAAAGGAACAGCAGAATAAGGACGCCAAAATATACCGGAATCCACATTATTTTAAGTTTTATTATGGCTAAATACCAATGACCACTTAATTCTAATGGACTGAAAGGAAGTTTAAAATAAATTGTTGACGTTTCACTGAGCTTTTATCTGTGTGCTCTCAATGGAAACATACCCCAATCATCATTTTTGACTTTGAGAATTGGACCGTTTTGACTGGGCTGACGGAAGATGACTTGACGCAAGTTCTTCGGCGGCAAAGTCTACAGTAACGTCAAAACAAAGGTAAATTTAATTTGATTTCAACCCTTTCGCACACGAGGCGTATTTTTTGACGTACTACTGCGTCAGAGACCATCGTCAGAGAGTGGTGCGGTCATTGACGCATCTTGTGAAAGTGCCCTCATACAGAGGAATTATAGCGTCAACTTTCTGTCTTATGGGTCAATATTGCCACCAAAATAATGTTTGGTGAGCGCATGAAGTAACGCAATCTAAAATACGTCTCGCATGCAATACAATTTATACAGTGTGGCAAAGTTTTGACGGTAACTCCTTGATTTATCGCACATGATTCTGGAAATGTTTGTTGAATATGAAATGCATGTTAGCGAAGGCTCCTATCATTCACTTTATTCTCTTTATGCTCAAGAGTTGAATTGCACATTTTAGGAAACGTATTTCGATTTGGAGTTGAATCCATTTTAAAGTTATGGTGAACCCCCCTTTAAAGTTGTTGCTCAATTACTTTGTTTTATTATTGGATTCCACTACTTTTGAGGCTTGTTTCCACTTCAAAAAAGAGCGATCTGTGATCATGCTCGGAAGTACGACTCCCTCAAAAGTGGATTTAGTACAAAAGACCCCGATCCATCCAAAATCAGAGTAGAGATGATGATGCAAATTGTTTTACTTACGATCCAATTCGCTTTCACCATAATCATATAATTTGACCCAATTCTTTGAATGAATGGAAATATCCCCAAATTCGATCATCATGGTGACGTCATTGAAATGAAGAGAGAAAAAGAGAAAGAGAAAGAGAAAGGGAAAGAGAAAGAGAAAAAAGAGAGAAAGAGAAAGAAAGAAAAAGAGAAGGAGAAAGAGAAGGAGAAAGAGAGAGAGAGAGAGAGAGGGAGAGATGCCTAAGTCACTGACATGTAAGACATTACCCCCTTCACATTTTGTTTCTTGTGAGTTAATTATTAGGCCATGGTTAATGATAACATTAAGTTGTAATTTATATAATATCAACGACATTATTAATATATATATATTTTTGTATACATTTGTAACTTGTATAGAGTCAACAGCACATGAATTATATCAAATCGGAAAGATTAGCCCTACTGCCGAGGTCATTGAAACCAAAGATTCAGGCTCGTGCGTCAGTGATTATCGATGAATAAACGTCAATTAAGCTCGTAATAACCGTTTGTGCTATTGTGCCCCTCATAATATAGCCTCATGATAGGAATAAATGTCCTGAATATTGAGAGGGGTAGGGGGGGGGGGGTGGCGGCGGAGGTGGTGGTGGCTGGAAGGGGGGGGTATACGTTAAATGACTGATTTTTTTCCAGTGTCTGAAATGACACACTGCCCTATTGAAAGGGGCATTTTGATATTTATAAAAAAAAGTTTTCTCAGAACATGGGAAATATAAAGGAAAACCTGCTTGAAAAGCCCGACACGGATCCTTAATACTATCGAATTTCCCACTTTTAAGGACAAGTGTTAATTCATTTGCATGATTGGAAATAAGACTGCTATAGATCCATGTGACTCTCTATTAAATCGGCGGATTGGTCATTTGATTGTGACGTAGCTTTGGACTCTTCCATTCGGTTACACATTTAAACTAACGTGTTTCAGTTTCTCCCCAATGTAAAATTCCCCACGTGGCTCTACTGCTCTACGAATGACAATTTATGAAGAAATATGAACAAATAATACAGTAAGCCATCTTTCGCATTAGATCAGGTAAAATATTTTTCTGACATTGCATCATTGTGACTTCATTAATTCATCAGCTTTTAAGCTTCCATCAAGCTTAGTGATCTTAAACGAGAAAATAAAATATCGTAACCTCTAATTAAAATGGTGTACCCGAGTTCGTGTAACTCTTTAACCATTGTGAATTGCCAATTTGTATACGTTCCCCAGGAGCAACCTGGTTATAGTCATAATGTAGAATTTCCATTACTTCTATGATGATTTAATTTACATTAATTCGTCTTAGAAAGACTGTCATAAGACGACTACCTAATTGTCTTCAAATACACTTTTTATTAATTCATGTTATTCCACTTGGAAAAAAAGTGTACGCAATTGACATTCTTTTACATTTTCCTGGAACCATTTATTTGGAACCATTTGGGACCTGTCTCATATACAGTTGCGATTGATCGCAATTTATTTGCGACTGATATCGATCGCAACTATATACATAAGAGACAGGGGACTGTAAACTTGCGATTGGTTGGAGGACTTACGATTGATACGAATCAATTGCAACTGTTTATAAGACAGGTCCCTGGAAAATAAAAAGCGGTCCAGGTTGAAAACTCAAAAACCTTTCAAGAAAGAAAGATAATCTCGAAATGCCGGAATACTAATAAGGCATTTAATAACTTTATAGGAAAAATCTAATTATACACAGTATATCTGATTTCGTGGAACCCTTGTAAATGAAAAATAATTGCAGATATTGATCCGTCTTCCAACTTTTCAACAAAATATTGAAACCAATCGAAACATAAGAAAAAGTAATAAGTATATCGACATCGGCTTAAAATAACCACGATAACAAAAACATATCCTTTCAAAAGTACAACAACCTTAACATTTCGTCTTCTATCCATTTCCTTGTCCTTCACGAGCCCAAATGTCACTGACTTGGTAATGGTGTTTACATGTCTGTAGGAAAAGGTGGATGCCATGTTTATGTTGGTCTTGCCATTTTTTATCGCTTCATATAAAATCGATCATGAGCGAAGTTCACTGTCGGCGAAACGCAAATTGTTTACAGAAAACTTCCGTACTGTTAATCAAATTGCATAATATTCCGGATTGCCAAATTGAGAAAGCAATTACGATCGGCCATGAAGTGCCCGATAATCAGAAAGTTAGACAAACAGTGGTATTATCAACCTTCACGAAATGATTTGGTTTTCAAAATGTCAATGATTGTGATAGTTAAATGTGGCTAAGAATAAATCGGTTTGTTGATCTTGAAGATAAAGAAAATGAGAAGTCCTTTATTTCGAAAGCATCATAAGGGGCGATACATTCAGAGTGCAGAATTGCCCAGACCTCAGTTGATTTAGGAATTAATTGTCATTATCGTATTTTGTATAATGTATGCTGTAGAGGTGTTGTGGTCCAGTGGACAAGTCTCCAGACTGTAAAACACAAGCTACGGGGTTCGAAGCCCTGTTGCAGCACTAACGTATTTTGGCAAGACATATTTTATCTACAAATTATTGCCACTCTTCAGCCAAATGAGACATATGAATTGGTACCTGGCCGTAATTAATTCCTTAAAATAAAATGTTCGAGCGCTGGCAGGAGTTTCAATGCAATGTTTGTGGACGGATTTCTTTGTTGATTTGTTTTATGAAGGGCTTAAGTCTGTAGTTTCCTTCACATCTATTCCACATTGTTTCATCAAATTATTATCGGATTGTTTACCCTTTGAACTTTTGGATACTCGACGTGACCTCTTCCGGGGGTACTATTTGGCCCCAAATAGTTTATTCCAATTTTCGGCAAACGACATCTCTATCATAAAAAAAAAGATATAAATTTGTATTATTCTTTAACAAGGTCAACTTGCGTAGAATTATTATCAAGTCGATCGCTCAAATGGGAAATTCGAAGTTTACTGCGCATGCGCTACGAAAAAAGTGGACGAAGAATGATAAAATAAAAGGAAAAAGCGAAAGGAAATAGGATTGAAATGGGGATTGAGATGAGAAAGGGGAGGGGGGGGGGGGGGGGGGGGGTGTCGGAAAGCGAGCAGGCAGAATAGGGGAATTATAGCCGGTAATATTTTTGGTAACATGTTTTGAATAAATAAACAAACATAGCATATTTTGCTCGCAGTTGGAGATCAGCGAGTCGTTGGACGAGTTCGACGGTTGATTTTCACAAGGCCATTTTATTTTTTTAGAGAGGACTCTGACGATTTTTAGTTTATCCAGGCTATTGATTTTATGTAGGTTAATGTTTCTCTTTTTCACCTCTCTCTATCTTACCCCAAAATTATTTTCCTTATATATTCTCAATATTCATCTTGCATCTCCGACAGAAAGTAGCTTGTTTTACCTTACTCTGTTTCCCCTTCGATATGTCCTTTTTTTCCACCCCTCCGTTTTCAGTGTTCGATTGCTTACTCAATTGCTATTAAAAGCACATTTTTTTCTTCCCTGCTGATTTGTTCTACTTGGAAATTAGTTTGATTGATATTTATCTAGAAAAAAGACCGCCACTGCCAATTATAGTTTTCTCATAGATAGAGAGAGATTGTGCGCGAAACAAAACGTTTTTGTTTCGTGGAATATTTTCGGATCAAAACAGAAGGAGCCCGGATTATAATTTATGACGTCATGATGTTTTGTGTATATATAGCGGTATTTCTGTTCCGATTCGCTTTTAATAACATTTTTATATCTTTTTTCCTTCTTGCAGCGACCACGTCCAGTGCACTCTCCAAAGGTACTATAATTTAAAGGACTCTTTTGCACAACATGGAGGAAACAGGAGATACGACTTTTTGCATCTGCATGCTACATTACAATAGTGTGAACCTGTCAAGGAGGTTACGACATAAGGCAGTAACTCACAGACATTATGATCCCGCGTCTCTGTCCACATTCCATCGTGTTTTTATAACGATGTGTATAATTTTAGGTAAGTACCAATATTCCTTTTCTTGTTTACCTATTCATTTATTTTAAGAAGTGTAAAAACATTTTCTCCTTAAAAATCCTCTTTTGGGATCAAGAAAGGCGCTAAGTCTGTAAAAATGTATGAGATAATGCTCTATTGTGGTCTGACACACAATGGACGCATTGTGTGAATTCAAGTAGAAAATAGCAAGGGATGTATAATGCTATATTAATGTACAAAAGTGAAAGGAAACCGGGACGTTATTAATGTATATACGTTAAAAGAGTTACCCTTTTTAAGGTAGGATTAATAACCAACAATACATTGCTGATTTATTTTTTTCCATTTGTGAATCAAACCTGCGTAATCATGATAAAAGTGTCAATTGTCTACTAGTTACTCTGCTGAGGTGCACCGGTAATAAGCAAGTAGTCTAGCATTGTGCTGTTACAAGTAGTTCTATATTTAGCTCGATTCAAGTGAATTCAAATCCATTTAATGAATCTGAGTTCGCGTCAGTATACATGTATTTCATTGTGAATCATACTGATTGAATTAAACGATTTAAGGCAGTTCAATTCGATCCCTTCACTTAAAATCACCCAATGCTAAAGAAAAATTTCACTTTATATCAGTTAATTAAAAATTCGTTTAATTTCATCACAAATTTGATTAAGTGCAATTACAGATTCAAATAGTACTTAAATTATAAGTTCTTAGCCCCCACAAATTCTACAAATATCAGTGCATGTAGACAAATCAAAACACTGTACTAATATATTTGGTAGTGAGCCATGTGTATTACAGTCTACATGAACCTCATAATTTCCTTGATTGATTTGAATTAATTTCAACACGAGTTATGATATGTATGAAAAGTTACGATTGGTCCGAAGCTATCGCAAGTACTTAAATCCATCGCAAAGCTACGATTATCTACCTCTTATCATGGATCTATAGCTCCATGCTTATCTACGGCGTGGCGATTTATATCAATCTGAATTTTTTTCTTCAAATATTTTCATTATCGGGAGCACGGTAGTTCGTTTTTTTTTGTGTGGCCACCCTGTTAACCCTGCTGGAAAGAACACACTTATTCACAGTGTGAATCACACTATGAATCACAGTGTGCTCCACAATGTTAAATTGGGGCGTTTTTACATTGTGGTCGATTCGTTTCACACTGTGGTTACAGTGTGGATAACCGGAAAGGAAAGAACACACTCATTCACACTCATTCACAGTGTGCTCCACAATGTTAAATTGGGGCGTTTTCACATTGTGCTTGATTCGTTTCACACTGTGGTTGACAGTGTAACTAACCGAAAAAGGAAAGAACACTCATTCACATTCATTCACAGTGTGAATCACACTGTGTTTCACACTGTATTAACAGTGTGAACTGTGATTTCACACTGTGATTCACACTGTGAATGAGTGTGAATGAGTGTGTTCTTTTCAGCAGGGAAGTAGGCCTACATTTAATAGTTTGACCAAGTGCTCTTGCGCAGCAGTAGAGAAAACAAAATGAATATAAGTTTTACAAATAAAATGGCGACGTCAATATAATACACACAGAATCGACAAGAGCATCAACAAAAATCAATATATTAAACACAAACGCCTATGATATTTGTGTTGAGATTTCATGAAAATATGACTGGAAATTGGTGGGGTGGGGGGGGGGGGGGGGGGGGGGGTTGTAGGGGTGAATGTCAAGGGGGTTCGGTTTCCAGAAATTTCAGTACATGTTGATGCATGTTTTGTCAACAGTTTTGAGTCGGTGTGACATTCACAATTCGAGCTCCTTCTTCACCTGTACTTGTTATGATCACGATAACATGTGGAAACCATTGGGACTCGGATTAGGGATTGAAAGTGATAGCATGGACCTTCTTACAGTAGGTCCATGGTGAGAGAGAGAGAGAGAGAGAGAGAAAGAGAGAAAGAGAGAGATGGAGAGTGAGAAAGTGAGTGTGTGTGCGTGTGTATGTGTGTGTGAGATTGTGTATGCGCGTTTGGGTTGGTGTATGCGCGAGCGTATGTGTGTGACTATGTGTGCTTTTGAGCTAGAAGTGGGAGAGAGAAAGAATAGAGGAGAGGATGGCAGACAGAGCATCAAATATGGAGAGAGAAGGAACAAAGGAAAAGGAGAGAGAGAGATAGAGAGAGAGTAGGGAGAGAGCGAAAATTAGAGCATGGACCATCCATGGTGAGAGAGAGAGAGAGAGGGAGAGAGAGAGAGAGGAGATGGAGAGTGAGAAAATGAGTGTGTATGTATGTGTGGTTGAATGGGTGTGTGTTATGTTTATGTATTTAATATTGAAAACGTTGATTTATTTTATTCGATTGTATGTTCCTGTTTGTATTACATTTGGAGTAATAAAACAAAATGATTTTAACAATTTTGTTTAAAGTGTGTGCGAGCGTGTGTGTGAAATTGTGTGTGTTATAGAGATAGAAGTGGAAGAGAGAGAGAGAGAAAAAAAAAAGAAACGGAGAGAGAGAGAGAGAGAGAAAAGAAACGGAGACAGAGCATCAAAATATGGAGAGAGAACAAAGGAAAAAGGAGAGAGAGAGAGAGAGAGAGAAGGGGGGGGGGGGGGTGAGTGTGTGTGTGTGTGTGGGGGGGGGTGAAAAGTATTAGTAAAGATTATAGAGAAAAGAGATATATAAGGATCAGCTGTAGATAGATTATAAATAGAGCAAGGGAGATAGCAAATAGAGAGCAATTTAGAACTGGAAGGGGGCGGGGTGACAAGAAAGAGAGACAGAATTAAACTTAGAGTGGGGTATGAGGAGGGGCTCACCCGAGACTGGAAGGAATAAAACAGTTCCAACTATTGTGTCATCAATAAATCATCTCTCCTACAATTATCCTTCGGTTGGCGGACCCGTGTTTGTTATTTCTTCGTCATCCTAGTGTTTTATCATCGTTCACTGTTTATTTACTAAACCTAACGCGTTTGTCACGGGTGTCGTCTGCTTTCATTCAAGATTGGAACCTTCACATTGCCCGATATTTCCTAACGTCTAAAAAATAATTTTAAAGAAAAAACACTACCGATGTATTTTCGTTATGAATTCAATTTGTGCACACATATTGACAATAATGATATTTCAGCCTTGTGTACGTTTTCATTCTTGAAGTGAACTACATAAACTATTTGTTGCTATGACGGGCAATTCTCTGTCAAGCTGGAAAAGTTATAAATAGAACACTTCTATCTGGACAACAGCATTTCACAAAATTCAATACGAAATGGCAACATTACCGATGGACGAGAAGTCCAGCCAATCAGCATTGAGTTTACTGGCAAGTCACGTGTTCAAAAGGGAACATCCTTATTGGTTAGGGAGCTGATGAGGTGGTCGTTTCTATCGATCTGAGAACCGTTAGGTAAACTTGAAGTTAATGTGAAAGCAAAGGTTTAGAATTGATAGCTGATAAGTTGATTACTTTAGGATGACTAATATGTGGCTTGCATATTCAATTATACCTATTTCATGTATATAAATGTGATTGACAAGTGGTGTAATCTAACCTTATGTATTAAAAAAAATACATCAAAACAACACCAAATATATGGAGATAAACCACAACAAACCAGATCTACATATCAAATTTGTAAAGTGCTCCAGAAACCCCGGTTGCATTGCAGTTCAAATTATTATCCTGTAGGGGTGTGAGTCGAGTGTAAGTACAGACAAATTGAAAGAGCATAACATATTTCCATTATCTATATCCCTAAGTCTCAAATCCTCATACATTTCATCATAACGCCATCCATTTTCTCAACAACCTAGCTCTAATCCACAAATAATGGCAATGGGTACGAAACACTAAACGCCGCCCGATTTGAGCGCCATCTTAAATCACCGTATACCCATGACCTCATCGCTGTACGCAGAGGTCAACCCCGTCCGAATAAACTTTCATCGTGGAACCTATTTTTTCTTTTTATTTAGCCGTCGTGTTTGTTGGATAAATTCTGCGATGTTTGTGTATATGATGGGAATTATCCTCACATTACATTGATTAATGACTTTTGATATCCAAGCCAGACGCTTCTATTTCTTGCCTGGAATGTGCAAAAGAGTAGGATGTTTTTGTAGGTTTAGTTTCTGTCCTGGGTTTCTATGGACTGAGCAATTTTCGTGTCTTTTAAAACAAATAGAAGAGAGAGGTTTTTTTGGTAGCCTAACTTTACTTTCCCTTTCTATCTAAGATCATACATCAGTATAATACAGAGAGAGAGAGAGAGAGATTCAAAAGGAGAACAACAAACAGGAGGGGAGAATTAAACTTTTGGCAGCCAGAAAACTAATAAGAGAAAGGGAAAGCTGAGTGAGAGAGCGAGAGAGAAAGATAGAGAGAGAGAGAGGGGGGGGAGTGGGTATGTGTGTGCTTGTGCGTTGTGTGGGAGTGGGAGAGGGAGGCGGAAAGGGGGGGGGGGGGCTTTTTAAAGATACTATGAGAGGATACAGAAAGGAATAGGGCAGTCAGACATGAGAGAGACGCACGCACACTCGCACACACATACAAAGTCACACACCCGCACACAAACACCTCTCAGATGGTGAGGGGAGAGAGAGAGAAAGACAGAGAGAAATTATATAGATACAGACCATGGACCTACATGTACAGAGGCAGAGAGAGAGAGAGAGAGAGAGAGGGCATGTTTGTGTGGGTGTGTGTGTGTGTGTGTGCGTTTTGTGGGAGAGAGAGAGGGGCGGATTCCCGGTGGAAGGGGGGGGGGTGGGCTATTGAAGGAGAACATGAGAGGATACAGAAAGGAATAGGGCAGTCAGACATGAGAGAAAGATGCACGCACAGTCGCACAGACACAAAGTCACCCACCCGCACATACCTCTCAGATAGAGAGGGGGGAGAGAGAAAAAGAGAGAGAGAGAAAGAAAAAAAAAGAGAGACAGAGAGGGAGAATGAGAGAGAAAGAGATGGTGAGGGGCCGGTGATGATGTAGGAGCTATTATGAAGGAGACAAGTATAGTCTCAGAGA